GTTCCCGGCATTTGCAATCGTCGATGAGTATCAAGTTTATCTTTTCATCACCGTTACGTACTGCATGGAGCCCAGACGCAATCTGCTTACTCCTTTCTCTCTCCACTCTGTCTGCTGCCACCACTTGCTTGCTGCCGTGACACTTTTACCAGGCCCTTTGGCCTTGCATAATACACTCATCACTTTAACGCCTTCTAGAACGATCATGGACGTTTTCGACGCCGCCGTCTCATTGGTCGGGTTATGGGCCTTTGCTGCACGGGTGCATGATAACTAAAAGTGCAAATGTGTGTAGCCCGCAGGCTAGTGACTGGGTGCCTTGCTTTGGGATGCACAGGCAAAGCAGAAGTGAATCTGCAAAAGGTGCATCATTAGCTTACCTAGATGTTCCGTGGGGGTGAGGAGATCAGGAAGAGGGGGAGGCAGAGAACGACCGTTCATCTGCCCACACCCACCCACTTTGCTCTTGAATATAGATTAAGTTGTGATGACGGGGGTGAGAAATCTCGAGGTTCTCAAGATAGGGTGGACTGTTTAATTCCCCGATAGCTATGATATAGAACTAGGATTCGGTCTCTATAGATTAGAGGACTCGGGTGAGGTGGGCCGGATAGTGATAGGTCAAGGGCGCAGAGCGAGCACATCTTGTTCCCTCCCAGAGTGACTTCCATAGACGTGCGGAGGTGTGCGTTGCAGAGGTGTATGTCACTCGCCCGGCCTGCATGACTGGCATTGTTACTACTGTGTATGTGTATGCCTTGCTACCCTGGATTGGGAGCTGCAAGTACCTCATTGGCGAGTGGTAACTCACTTACTTAGTCAACACCCGGCGGAGAAGCACGCCAAGGACAGGCCAATGTATGTACTCACAGGCTACAGGACAGGGCGGCGGCAGGAGAACATGTAAAGAAGCAGCCGCTGCTTTCGGTAAGCGGCTCGGGGGTCGTATATCATCAATGGACCCCACTTTAGTTTGCGAGTCCTCGTTGGTCCAACCCCAGGACGAAACGCCGGATTAGGAAAGTAGGCGGGTACTAGCGAAAAGGCGCGGTCCTGAAGGACAAGTGCAAATCTTCAAGCAGGACCTGACTTCATTTGTTTTGTCCTGCAGGAACGGGGGACACGTACACACAGTAGACTCGTCGGTCGCCAAGACTGAATAGAGGTTAGATGGGAAGAGGAGCGAACTAGACGCCACCTGGCCAGGTCCTGCATCTGAGGAGGTTTCCGGGAGATGGAACCGGGTGGCTCGGCATCATCTCGTTGGCTGGAAGGATAATTCCCCCGCGGACTTGGGGTATTGTAAACATTGAACGTCGATCGAGCTGCTTGTAGACGCTCAATCGTTGATCAATGAAACATATCCAGTGGACTAGACTGGAGCTGCGTCGATCTGTTGGGGGGAAGATATTGGCATCTAGAACACTACCGTCGTCCCGTAGTATTGACATCTCACCACCTCCAAGAGACTATCATACCTGTCTCTGGACTAGTCTGGGACATAAACCCGATCTGCCTCCAGGTTCTCACACCCTCTCTGAATATGATAGCTACCATAGCATATACCTCCACGCGCGGGACGGGCAATACCACTACTTACCCACACCCCTCCTTAATACTATAGAGAGTTGCAGCAGATCATGGTTGACAGATCGGATGACAGCCCCCAACAAAAAATACCATTCGGCACTGGAGCTCATTCGTGAGCTTGTCATGGGCAGAGATGGGCCTTGGCACTCCGATCCGCCCCCCTTCAACACATCCAGTACCATGGGGACATCCCGGTAGAAGGGCCTAGTATGCATCGTAGTTTTCCGTAGATTGTTCGAGGTTCCTAGAATTTGATATAGCAACTTATATATCCAGGGATTCAGAGTATGGTTTTGCTGAGTTCAACATACTGGCAATATGGGGCTTTGATTATCGCCAAGAAAGGGAATGGATATAACTTCAAAAGTGTTAATCATAAACAATAGTACATGATTAACAAATATCTATGACTCAAAAGGATGGGGAACAACACGTTATCGTGCCACTCGGCCTCGCTAATAATGGTCCCACGTGGGAAAGGATCCGTAGTTGCGCATCAGGCGAGCAAGAGAAAGTAGAAGCCATCGCCGCCAGGCACGAGATGGACGGCGTGGCAAAAGACGCGGGCAATATAACATCAATATAATAGGCGAATACTACTGCAAAAGGACTCTCAAGCAAGCGAGATGTCTTTGAAGAAACGAGTGACTTGGCCTAGATGTACCTTCTCATGGTGATGGAGGTTCACAGTCGCCAAAAGATGTACTGTGTAAATGCGCAACTAAAGATCCTGGTTGGCCCGGATCATATATGTTTCAAAAGTTGCTATCAGGATCTTGATTTGTCTACTAAACCATAGTTGGCCATTAGGAACATGTTCTTGGAAAACTGTAAATGGGCAACTGCTCCGTCCCACTCATATTTCGGCAATCATCTCTCGCCACGGGAAGGCTTGATATCTCGTGAGGAGTCAAAGATTACTTTGTAATTGCGCAAACTCATAACGTAATGGGAGGCGAGTCAAAGATATGGCAGTGGCCGAATTGCAAATGACGAAGACGGAGGCACGACTGAAAGGGGTCTCAAGTTGAACTTGTTGAGCAGCCTCCATCTGTCACTGATTCACACCAAGGTCAAGCACGATGGTTCTACTTGCTTTACCAAATTATTGCATGGAAGGCTGTCAGTGATATCTTACAAGCATGATTTTACACGAAATACAAACACATTTATTAGAGAAATCGAGAACTAATCACTTGGCAAGACAATTATGCGAACCTGCATAATATATTGTTCAGTCACTCTAGCACTTCAACAACTAAGTCATATCTTAATTTGTCCACTCTCACGAGATGAGACACATCTCTATTCTCAACTACGTAGTCTAGGAAGTAATATCATCCAATAATGAATAAGTCAAGCTCATGTATCTTGATCCAAAGTAATAACGAGGGCCGAGATTATCACACAGTCACGCGACAAGTCGTCAGACACAGGCCAACGCTCAACAATTCACACAGCATGGCACACAGCCTCTCTCCCACCCTGCGAGGCTGAGATTAGATTCTCTCTTACCACTCAAGGGAAGAAACTAGGTGGATACTGCGTATAGCAACAGCAGGTTCAGCTCCGCCCACGAGACGCGGCTCCATGACGGGGCTGGGCTACACAGGAACCCCGTTTGTGAGATGATACCACGAAACCCTTGCGACTCCACACGAAATACATGATGGAATCAAAGCACAACAATATGATCCATTGGCACATGCTCGGAACGGGCCACAGATGAAGAAATAGAAAATTCCCGCGTTCGCGCCGTCAGCATCGCGGACGGACCCACGGGGTGTGGACTCATTGATTGCAACGGCAGAAGACTGAGGAGGACTTTCACCTATTCCTGACCGAGACTTGCAGAGGAGAATCACAGAACCACACCAGCCCGCGAGTTTATCTCGAATATCCCGTATTCCGTCGGGCGTGACTGTGCGTTGGAAAAAAGTAACCTCAGTATCTTAGCTCACCTGTTGTATTTATTCCGGTTTACATAGTACAAAGCTTCAAGCTCTTTTTGGGGGTCAAGCCACCAAGGGCAGAGGAGATCGACGGCTACGGGCTTGGAAGCTTGTTCTTGTTGCCCACTACGTCGTGCCAAGATACACCACCACCCCTCTCTTCCCGCCCAAGCCTTTTTTGTGTTGCTTGGTGTAAATTCTTATTTTCTCAATTCCTAAGACGAG